ACCTGATACTTAGCCTTGTTGAACCTCATACAGTTGGCCTCGATCCAGCCACTCACAGGATCACAGAGTGGTAGGTGTTGGCAGGGACTTCTGAAGATCATCTGGTCGAACCCCCCCTGCCAAAGCAGGATCACCTAGGGCAGGTTGCACAGGAAGATGTCCAGTTGGGTTTTGAAGGTCTCCAGAGAAGGAGACTCCACAACCTCTCTGGGCAGCCTCTTCCAGTGCTCTATCACCCTCACAGTAAAGTAGTTTTTCCTCATGTCGAGGTGGAACTTCTTGTGCTCCAGTTTATGCCCATTGCCTGTCGTCCTATCACTGGGCACTACTGAAAAGAGACTGGCTCCATCCTCCTGACAGCCACCCTTCCTTCAGATATTTATAGTCCCCTCTCAGCCTTCTCTTCTCCAGACTAAACAGCCCCAGGTCCCTCAGCCCTTCCTCATAAGAGAGATGTTCCAGTCCCTTAATCATCCTCGTAGCCCTCTGTTGGACTCTTTCCAAAAGTTCCCTATCTCTCTTGAACTGGGGAAGCCCAGAACTGGACACAGTACTACACAGCTCCCTTTGTAGAACCTTCCTACCCTCAAGCAGATCAACACTCCAACCCAACTTGATGTCATCTGCAAACTTACTGAGTGAGCACTCAATCGCCTTGTCAATATCATTGAAAAAGATATTAAACAGAACTGGCCCCTGTACTGAGCCCTGGGGAGCACCACTTGTGACTGGCTGCCAGCTGGATTTAGATACTTACAGCTCAATAAGTGAAAATTAATTGAGCTGTAGTATATTAAATTGGTATAAATGAAGTTCACTAAACATGCAATGATACAACTTTTCATTTGCTCAGGAGCACATGGAACACATGTGGCTAGTATTGCAGCTGGATATTTTCCAGAAGAACCAGAACGAAATGGTGTGGCTCCTGGAGCTCAGATTCTTGCAATCAAGATTGGCGATACGAGACTAAGTACAATGGAAACGGGCACTGGTCTAATAAGAGCTGTGGGTATTTCACTGAGTAAATGATTAATCTCAGCAGTATGACTTAATTGAAGATTATTGTGGAACACTTTCTGCTCTACTTGTTTATAGACTGTGTTTATGGTTCTAGAATACTTCCAACAAAAAAAAACACACCAAAAAACCCCCACCCCCCTCCAAAAAAAAACGAAACAAAAATAACCCAACCAAAAAAAGCCACAGAACCAACCAGAATTTAAAGCATACCTTAAGACTAATGTTTTAATATAAAACAAGACTTCTGTTGTGTAGAGCACTTACAGGGTTTTTCAGACTGATAGAGTTGCAGTATGTCTGGCTAGCTTGACACATGGGCTCAGTTACTTGTATGCTTATTTAAAGTTCCTTATTCTGTGTTGTGAGTGTGGGTTTTTCTGTAGTTATTTAGATAACTATAGAATACTTAAATACTTAAATAAATTTAGAATAGATAGGAGTATCTACTCATGTGGCTGAATTTTTTTTTAAATCTGTTTCTTAAGAGTGAGGAAAAATGCCATTCCTTTTTAATAACGAAAGGCCTAAGGCCTTTTCCATGTAGTGAGTTGATGGGGGGAAAAATTTTACACAAGAAAAGGAACTGAAAACAGAATATTCTATTTGTGGCCCGTAGAATATCTTGCTATAGGAACATGAAGATGTACAGTAATGGTTTTGAGTCTTTTGAATTTAACCAAACTGCACAGGAAAGGAGAAATTAATGTTATTGAGGACAGGCATTTGAGACAATACTAATGTTGTCTGCAGTTTTCTCTTAGGGTAATGTCTTTATTTATAGCTTGGAACACGGCAAGAATAAGACTGTTCCGGGAGTGTTTATTATTATTATTATTATTATTATTAT